TAAAGCTAATAGTGTCTCTAGCTAGTAATGTCTAATGCTATAGCTAATAGTGTCTAAAGCTAATAGGGTCTATAGCTAATAGTGTCTAACGCTAAAGCTAATAGTGTCTAACGCTAAAGCTAATAGTGTCTACAGCTAATAGTGTCTAAAGCTCAAGCTAATAGTTTCTATAGCTAATAGTGTATAAAGCTAAGGCTAATAGAGTCTAAAACTGATATTTTCTAAAGCTAAAGCTAATAGTGTCTATCGCCAATAGTGTCTAAAGCTAATGCTAATCGTGTCTAAAGCTCATAGTATCTAAAGCTAAAGCTAGTAGTTTCTATAGCTTCAGTTTGAGTGTTTCTGCACAAACCCAACATGAATCTGAACTAACGACGAAGACAGAAGCTGAAGCTGTTCCTTCCATCAGTTCTCATCGGTACCTGACGTGGCGGATGTGGGAGAGCAGCATGGTGAGGTGTCCGAGCCGGAGCGTCTGCTGCTGGGTCGACAGGCCCAGCTTGGAAATGGCCCAGACCAGAGCGTCGATCACCGAGTCGAGCAGGCGCAGCAGCTTTTTCCGGCTTTCCAGCTCCTCGGCCGTCTGAGGGGAGCTGGTGCACAGATCTGAAGCAGACAGTTCACGATTACACGTCAGGTTCCAGCAGGTTTTACCAAAAGTCGTGTAAAACCAGAAACATTTCTCCCACATTTTGCTTCGTGAATTGAAATTTACTAGAATCAACGGAAAAAAGGGATTATTATTAAGTTATTTTGGACGATTCTTGAGTCAGTTTAGGTGATTTTATGTCACGTTGGACACGTTTCAAATCATTTTGGACAATTATAGATTGGAGTCAAGTTGTTGGACGATACATCCAGCACAGTGAAACATCTTTCTGCAGCTGAGGTAGAGCAGAGAGGAACAGTTTGTAAACCAGGGATCTCCAACTCCAGTCCTCCTGAGCTCCTGTCCTGCAGGTTTTCGACGTTACTGCAACACCCGACTCGCATTAATGGATCGTTAACAGACTTGTGTAGAACTTGACGACAAGCCGCTGGAGATCCATGAATGTGAGTCAGGTGTTGAAGTTACGTCTAAAACCTGAAGGACAGGAGCTCAGGAGGACCAGAGGCGGAGATCCTTGTTGTAGAGGCTTTAAATATGGAAACATCTGCAAAATGAAGAGACATTTTCTCCCTAGTGCCGGTAAAATCTGAGGACAACTTGGAAAAATGTTGTTTCCGTTTTTGTCAAACAACTAATGAAAGAAATTCAACTTTTTTTATGATTTCTGACATTCTCACTGAGTCAAACGGCACTTAGAGACATTCTCAGTTCTCTGCTTGTTCGCTTTGCTTCCATGTTTTTTAATTGAAAAATGAGTCCATGGTGAAGAAGAACTCGACAGCAGCAGAGAAACGCCCAGAAACAGAGATCAGAAGGTTGACTGACGCTCTCTGACATTTTCCTTCCTTCTCGCGTTTGAAACCGTAGACGGAGCGACTGCAGGTTTCTTCCATCAAGACGAAGCCAACTTGAACCGAGCGCTGACATTCATGAGTTTATGTCCAACCATCTGGCTGCTCTCAGAAACACCAGAGACGCTGTGGATCAGGACTCCATCTGTCCATAAATCCCCGACAAAACTTCCTCCTCGTTTTCTTTTCCTCCGCTGACTTTTCGCTTTCACTTGTTGCACAACGTGTTCTCTTGCCGTTTGTGTTTCCAGCTGCAGCTGGAGCCGAGTCAGCCCAGCCTGGCACAGGATCCGCTCGGGAAGGAAACTTTATTAAAGCCGCCGAGGACGTCCCAAGAGGTCGCTCACCTCCAACGAAACCGGCCCGGAGTCTGCAGGGGAGGACGAGGCGACCGCTGGACACGCATGAAAGGAGGGAAGACGAACGGCAGTAAAGTCCGTCTGTGGGAGGATCGGCGGCGCTTTTAACGATTTAAGGAGCTTAAAACCGCCGTAAACTTTAATACAGTGAAATAGCAGAAAACTAAAAGGAAATGTGAGTTTGTCTTTCAGCTCCGGTCAGAAAACACCGTAAATAAGTCACTTCCTCATCGTAAAACACTTGAAATAATGAGATTTATTTCAGTTTCTGGGCGTTTTGTTGCAACGTTCTCATTTTTCTCCACTCAGAAATGCATTTTGTGCAGCATGACACGGTTAGAAAGACAAAAATAGCACGAAAAGATGCAGAAATCACATAAAAAAAGACAAAAAATTATGTGAAAATGACACAAAGAGGCACAAAACTTCAAGATCACAGATGTGACCAACACTGGAGGAAAAATAGTGTCTCTACATATTTTACTACTTTAATTTTGTATCTGTTTCCGAACAATCCTGAACTTTTGTCAACAGCTGATTCTAAAATTTTTTTAAAAAACCCCAAAAACCCAACAACAACTATAAAACGAAGATTGAAAATAAAGTAATCGATAAAATAGAATAATTTCATTAATTTTTTTGCTTATTTAAGTAGTAATAAATAAATTATTGTAATAAATTACCACTTAAAAAAGAATATATATATATATATATAGAGAGAGAGAGAGAGAGATTTTTTTTTATGTGGGCATCATTTACAGTTTTTTTTTTTAAATTTATATTTATATGTTACAGCCAGCATGTAATTTTATTTTATATGATCAGAAATATATATATAAAGAAATAACAGTTAAAAATGATGAAACATTTTTCAATCTGTTTTATGTAAAATGTTTTAGTAAATATCTGCAAAATGATGATATTTTTAACGGATGTAAATAAAACACTGTTGTTTTTCTACAGCCAACCTGTAGTTTCTACTTGTTTTTCTGGGATTTCATCAGATATTATTATTTCAATTAAACCATCTGTAACATAACAGTAAACAAAAAAAAGCATCTAATTTTTTAAAATGTATTTTAATCTGTAAAATAAGAGCAACAAATAATAATTCATCGTTTTTTTCAATCCTAAATTAACTTCGTTTTTCTTTAAAACATCTTTAAATATCTGTAAAACACACATTTGTAGCTGATAAAAAGAAATTTAGTAGAAAAAAAAGTGTAATTTTATGGTCAAGTGTTGTTTTGAACAGTTATCGTGCAAATTAATACTTTTTTTGTGATTTACAAATTATCTCTAATTTACAAAAGAGGAAAAACCTGCAGCAAACTGTTTAACAAAGTACAGCTAAGTCATGCTTAGAGGTGGTTTGTTTGACAGCGTACAAGACTTTATGTTGGATTGTTTTTCTGTGAGGCCTTTTTATTATCAGTAAACGACCAAACTCAGAAGCAGCCTCTGTCCTGACGACAGCGTTTTAATCGTCCGGCTCAGATAGGCGCCGCTGCAGCTCCAGATTGTCGCTTCGCTAAATATCAACAAACTTATCTGGTTACAAAACGGACACAAAAACAGGCCGACGGACCGGACCGGACCGGACCGGACCGGCCGGACTCACTGGAGTTGAGGAGGATCATGGCCTTCAGGCAGACGTACTCCTCCCGCTGCAGCTTCAGCTCGCGGAACCGAGACGTGGCGGCCAGAAGCATGTCGAAGATCTCCATGATGCCCTCGACGCACTGGCCTTCCTCCCTGGACGGACGCCGAGGGGTGGAGGGAGGAGAGAGTCAGAGAGGAAGAGACGTTCATGAGTCTTTGTATAAAACAGGAAATTAAAGATCATCAGAGCTTCATGAACCAGACTGATGCATCAGACTGGAGTTACATACGACACAGACATCAAATCCTCTCCGTGTCCGGCTGACGTTGGTTCATTTAAACACTTAATGATGAACGTTCAGAGTTTCTTTGTGTTTTATTTCCACCAGGTCACGTTTAGAGCTTCAGTTACTGATGAAACAGACACAGACTTCTTAAATGTCGCATAAAAACATCCAGAAATGAGCCAGAAGAGGTAAAAAGCAGCCAAATGAAGTGTTTTTGCCTTTATTTTGGGAAATCTTTCATACAAAATCAAACAAATTTGAATAAAGTTCTCCTCTAACCTCCTCAGAACCATCTGGTTCTGTATCGACAGGAACTTTATTCAAGCAAGCAGAGTTTTACCTTCATATTGTGAATATTTCCAGACTTCCAAGTCCAAAATGTAACACTTTTCTAATCATTTTGGACACATTTAAAGTACTTTCGAGCATCTTTATGTCATCAAACGTTGTTTAAATGAAAATGTAAAATTAAAAAACAAAAATGTCCAGAATAAAAACTAAATATTTGTCCAAAATGACAAAAGTGCTAAAATAACTTCAACTATGTCTCAAAAAATGGTCCAGAATGACTTCAAAATGTCTAAAATGACGAACAAAAACTGCAAAATGACTCAGATTCTGCACACACTGACTAAAACGTCCACTCACATGTTGTTTAAATGACAAACACGTGTCAGAAATGACGTCAACACATATTTGACGACAAACAAAACTTGAAAACGACTTGAAGATGTTCATTAAAGTGATCAATCTGGACCCTCCTCTGTGGACTTCAAGGACCTGGACCTCTGAAGGTAGAACTCTGGTCAGTAGATAAAGCTTCTGGAGGTCCAGAACCAGGAGGTTCTGAGGAGGTTTGAGGGGAACTTTACCAGATTTGGTTGTTTTTATGTTTTATCCAATCCATCAGTGTTTCCTCGTTTATCTCTGAATCTCTAATAAGAACATGAAGCGAGTCCTGCTGGATTTGGATCAGGATGTTTTTTTTCCAGGCCGACGCTCAGAACCAGAGAGCTGTTGTGAAAACAGCGGGCGGCCGGCGTAAGCCTGTGGCGACGGTTTCCGTGGCAGTAGAAAGGTCAAACACCTTAGATCTATGCCGTCCGTAAATCAGACAAAAACACCAAAACAGGTCCTTAAAATCTTTAGAGACTCACTAAGGAGCCACACGGCTGCACTACATGTGGATTCATCTGCAAAAAAATGAGTTTCCATCAAATGTCTGCATAAATGCAAATAAACAAACGAAATGAACGTCAAAAACCTGCCATGAGCTGAAAAACGCATGTTTTAATTTAAATCTATTTAAATCAGCAAAATGTACCATTAACAGAGTCAGAAACTGTAGAAAGAGAAAAAACCTGCTGGATGATCAACTTTCCAACAGTCCCTGAATGCATCATGTGATTCTACTTTAGTTTGACGTTAGACGTGTGGTTCTGACGGGAAAAACAACAACAATCTGATCAATATCAATTTGTTCTAGAAGCTCTAATTTAAAACGTTACAAAAAAATATATAAATAAAATTCACAGAAAATCTTGTTAAATGAATTCTCATCTCGAATCAGCTGCAACCAGTCAGGAGGCAAAAATCCTGAAAGTTTCAGGCTGAACTGCAGGAAGTGTTTCCTCAGAGAGACCGAGAGGAAAATCCAATCAACTGGATCAATAAATAAAAGCAGCATGGATCAGAACCAGAGAACAGAGGAGCCAGTTGTTGGAGATACATCCAGCATGAAGGAACATCTTTCTACA